TGGTGCGGGCTCCGTCTCAATATTTTTCCTCTCTTTAGGCGACGTCCGGCACACGAGAACGCCGCCCCCTCGCGGCTGGCCAAACTAATGCGGGTGGAGGGGAAACCCACCCCGTCCACCCGCGGCCACACTCAGGGCGGCATGAGGCTGTGATAGGCGGGCCTCCGCCGCCCGGTTCGCCGGCGGCGGATCGGGTCCGAGTGGAGGTCGTCCTCCCGGGCCCTCTCCGCCGCCTCCTTCCGCAAGATTACTACCTCGCAGAAGGTTGCGACCGCGGTAAAACAACTGTCGCTACCGGCCATGGAGCGTACTACGGCCGGTAGCGAGAGATCCACTCCGATGACTGCAGTGAGGGCCCGGCGCTGCGCCGCCCATGCGGGGCAGACCGCCAGCGTGTGCTGGGCCGAGTCCTCACTGCAGTCGCAGTGGTGGCAGGCGGGACTCAGTTCCCTCCTAGCGACCGAGTGCAGGTACTTTCCGAAGCAACCGTGCCCGGAAAGCACCTGCGTCAGTCGGAAGGAAAGGGTCCCGTGCTGCCGCCCTGCCCACTCGGCGATGACCGGCTGGAGAGCCTCCACGGCGGCGAAGCGAGCGCGTGGAGTCTCCAGCCGGAACGACCAACGAGCCATCGTGGCTCGGCGAGCGGCTTCGCGCCACTCGCGCACATTCTCGGGCGGAGGGCGAAATCCGCTCTCCGCCCGGGAGTCAGCCACTCGCCGATAAACTTCGACGAGCACTTCCGCCTCCAAATCCCACGGGGAGGTTCCGGCCAACGCGCATGCCACCTCCGTCGAAACGGTGCGGTAACCGCGTATGGCTCTGACCGCCATTACCCTCTGAGGGCGCCAGAGGCGTGCCCTATTCTGGGCGGTCAGAGCCGCCGCCCACACCGGTGCACCGTACAGTGCCATTGACCGGACAACCCCCGTGTACAGCCGTCTTGTCGCGACGCTGGGTCCACCCAAATTGGGCAAAAGTCGCCCTAGGGCAGACGCAGCGCCGACCAGCTTTGGAGCAAGCTGTCGGAAGTGCTCGTCGAAGAGCCACCTCCCGTCGAGGATCAGGCCCAGATATTTCATCTGAGCCCGAACCGGTACGAGGACCGAGTTGACCACGATTGAGGCGCCAGGGGGTGGACCACGACGGGGCCCATGAAATAACAGGGCCTCCGTCTTATCTAGGGCCACCCGTAAGCCCAGCGCCTCAATGCGCCCGACCACCAGGGAGACTCCCCCTGTGGCCAGGCGCGCCGCCTCTTGGAAGTTTGCCCCCCGGGCTGTCACCAGGGTATCGTCTGCGTAACAGATTACACCCAGCCCGGGGGGGAAATCGGCGCGAAGGGCCCAGTCGTACCCTATGTTCCACAAGAGGGGTCCAAGAACAGACCCCTGTGGAACACCGCACGACATGGGCCGACACCTCAGATTACCTTCTCGGTCCTCGTACACGACGGTACGCTCCTCTAAATAGTCTGCCACTAGCCGCCTCAGGTACTTTGGCACCCCATGATAGTGGAGTGCTTCCCTGATGCAGCTGAATGGCAGACTATTGAATGCGTTGGCGATGTCTAATGACACCGCCAACAGCACGCCGCCACAGCTCACGGCCCTCAGGCGCAACACGGCGTCGACTGTCGAACGCCCCGCCCGAAAAACACCCTATATCAACCCGTCTGGCCAGCGTGGTATAGTAGGCCAAAACCTCCTCTCTAAGGGGAAGCCTATGTCCAGCAGTGGGCTGTTACAGGCTGTTGATGATGATGATGATGATGAATAAAGCTCTTAAAGAGTGAGTTTATAAAATATAAATTCCCATGAAATTATTGACGTGGGGTAAGTGACAGCTTAGTGAAATGTTTTATTGTTTAAATACAAATAAAAAGTGTTAAGTAGTACCCGTATCAATAACGCATAAGTATTAAGTTTAATCAACACTTCCCTGCCGACCCCCTGTTCTATTTATTCACACATATTATGTACATTGATATTACCGCTTTTTTACTATTTCAATTGACTTAATTATCATTAAAGTTTTATTAGCTGACAGTCGCCTTTAATTTAAATTATACGTGTAGATAGATTAGGTTTTTATGTTTCTTGCATCACTTACGAGTAAAAGGATTGAATTATAACTTAACATAAATTGGTTACCCTACTGCGCTAAAAGGAGGATAACGCTTTGATTTGTATATATGTTACCGGCAATCTGTATAATTCAGGTATTCTATACAATAGCTAGGTAATGTCTAGAATACCTAAGGCGTCTAGGCAATGCCTAGGTATTGTATAGAATACCGTATTATACAGATTGCCGGTAACATATATATTTCTGTGAAAAGCTCTCTAGCCTAAATGATTTGATGATTTTTTTATTTTGAATTGTTAGATAAGATTCCTTGTAGAGGTTAGATTAATCTTCTTTGTAAGAGTGACACTCTTAAAATTACGGGTTGTAAATTCTAAGGAGAGGCCTATGTCCAGCAGTGGACTATTATAGGCTGTTGATGTGATATGTGTGATGTAAAATTTTAAGTATACATTTCAACGCAGTCTGTTTTTTTTTTTCCATAATTAGCTTTTCTTGTAACTATAATTTTATTGAAATAAAATAGTAACTTTTATTACTTTTTCGTAAAGTAGCTTTTCAAGGATCAAAGAATGATTTAGGGCTCTTTATAAAGGTAGTATTTTTTTTATCAGGTTAATGTGTCAGTATGTTTATGTTAAAAAGGCGTTGGTGCTGGCGACCGGGTCAGACAGCCGGTTTGACCCTTCAATATCCCAACGTTTCCCAAAAAGACACCGTTGCTGAACTCACGTGTCGCGTTACCCATAAAACTGTCAAAGTACCGTTATCACAACTTGATTCTGTAGTGATAAGGTAATAAGGTGTAGCCTTATCACGCTCCCTGTAAATATCACGGTTATTGATTATTATGGCTCTGCTTATCTACGGAGTTCTGGTAGTTTGGTACGCGAATTTCAGTAGGTCGAAAGATAGGGCAATTTACGTGTGCAGGAAGCTACGGCAGACTATTTAAGCTTCTAGTGGAATATTTGTCTTTTGTATTTTTTGATGTGAAAACTTCTTCAGGCGCGTTGGGCATTTTTGAACAACAAACAAAAGAATGTATTTTTTGAGATTGGAAAAAACTATTGAACTCGCGACACTGTTACCGTTACCGACACCTCTGTATAAAAGTATCTATATATATTGATACGAGAGTTGAGTTTGGGTTGAAATACATTGATAATATAACTATATATAATACTAGCTGACCCTGCAAACGTTGTTTTGCTGTTTACATTTTTTTTTTTTTTTTTTAATGTCTTAAAATCCGTTCTTAGCTGACCTCTACTCGGTGAAAAGAATATTCCTACCAAATTTCAAGTCTTTACCTCTAATGGTTCCAGAGATATCCTGATGAGTGACTATATACGTGGAAATCTCTTATATATATACAGATAAATATATATTGTGTGTATAAGTACAACATAGATATTATATGTATACTTTTCGAATAAAAAACCTATTATATTAAAAAAAAACAAGTTTTCACTTCTATCGGCACTACCAGAGTGCCAGTTTTTTTTTGTTCTCACATCTCTGGTACAGCACGAGAGAGCCATCATTCGGCACAAATGAACCACCTCGATCGTAGTAACACCACGGCTTTACAGAAAACCTGGGTTAAGCAATGCTTGCTTTTCACCAAGATAGTGAGATTACCGTACCCCAAACCTCCCCTCTCTCTGATTATAGGGGGGAGGACTGAAAGGGTGGCAACGCACTTGAGTTGCAGATGTCCATGGGAGGCGGAAGTCACTTACCATTGATCCGTCTCCTTGTTTGCTCTCCTATGCTATAAAAAAACATACAGGCGTTTAATTCTAAACTAGCCAGAGTCTGTACTATGGTAACCAGATCGCTGATAAACCTACATTTTTAAATTAATTATACCCAGACACAGATTAATGATCGTGCTCATCATACAATAATAATAATAATATTGTATCACATTCGTACAACCCCATCTAGTCCCAAACTAAGCAGAGCTTGTACTATGGGTACTAGACAACTGATATAAATACATATATACTTTTTTTTTGTAAATACATACTTATTATACATAGAAACACCCAGACCAAATCAAACATTAATTATTGTTCACGCACACAAATGTTTGACTTGAGCGGGAATCCAACCCCCCCGACCTTTGGAATAGCAGTCGGTTACACAAACCACTACGCCATTCGGTCGTCATTGCCAGAGGTCTCGGGTATATTTCCACATAGGACAATGATTTGTCCTATGTGGAAACATACCCAAGATCTCTGGCTTCGTAGTGAGGACCATTAACCACTAGAGCAGCAGGTCAGTCAGATTTAACAGACATATTTGATTGTAATTAAAACGCTAATTACTTAAACATCAGGTAAACTTGCGTACTCTAAGCTTACAGGTACATCGGTAGGTGGACATACTGTTTTTTTTTATGCTATAAGGGGGCAAACGAGCAGACGGGTCACCTGATGGTAAGCAACTACCGTCGCCCATGGACACCTGCAACTCAAAAGTCACACGTGCGTTGCCGCCCTTGGATTCCCTCCCGCTCAAGTCAGCGGGAGGGGGGATTTGGATTTGATTTCTAGAGGGAGAGTGTTATAGAGATTGAGAGCTTTGGACGGTGAAAGAATGAAAAATAAAAGGTTTATTCGTGTCCTTTACCCCATACTGAAAGCGATACTTAATTCAAACCTAAATAACTGTTTGATAAATCCCATAGTATTAAATAATCATCCCTTGTCACTCATAAATTAAAAGACTTAATTAGTTTACACGGCTTAACACTGGCCATTTATAGTCTATGGTAACTATGACGTGAAAAGAAAAGCAATAAAAGTAATCCACTGTTTATTGAAGGTGCGCACGCGCATTCAAGTCGCTCGCTTGGGGACACTTTAAATTGGTTACAGGGCATTAATATTAATGTACCAGTATTATGGTAATGGATAATCTGGGGGAGTTCGACGACCGTGGACGTGGTGAGTGACGACAATAGGGTATTGTGGGGAGAAGGCACGTTGATGGCGTGGTTTGGTTCTGGAGATGTTATGGAAACTTTTTTTTTAATTGCAACTGTTGTGCACGTGTGCAAATAATAAAATAATTCAGAATGAACACAAACCAAACTAGAGCATGACGAATATGATTAAAATAATTCAATGAAAAAAAAAGAGATTTGTTTATAAATTCTCAGTTTATATAAAAGTATCAGAAGTAAATTCTACGAGTCACTCAGCTTAAATCCTTCGTTATCCCAATCTAAGAATGTAAATAAAAACGGTATCCGAAAACGTTTTTATTGGATTACCAGAACTGTACTAGATCACTACCGAGCCGGCTATCACTCTAACAAGATTCTATAAATAGGTTTTACATAAAGTTTTTTTTTGTTGGCGTCAGCAAAGAGGTTTGTTTTACAGCTCCGCTGAGTGGGATGTGATAAATAACTTGTCGACAATTATAATCTGTTATAATCCACCGCTAGAAGTTTTTTTGTCGTGTCTATGGTAAAACTGTATCAAGTCATTTTAAGTGGAAGTTTTTTTAGTGAATTCCTTTTCACTTAATTTTGTTTTATAAGTATGTGTTGAGAGTTACTTTTTGTGTGAGTTCATATTTCATGGAATTTATTACATGAATTTTGGAGTGCATTTATTGTCAACAATAATAAGACTCAACAACACTTGAGGAGACCATCCAGATCCTCATTCGTAATCGCTTCTGTTTATTATTTATGAATATTCCTTAATATTAGTAGAAACTATCAATAATAAGTACTATCTTTATTAGCAATGTTTTCCGCAAAATGTGGAAATCGACAGGCCTGAAGAAATCGGTCAGGGTTTCCTGTCGCCCAAGCAGGCCCGAGACGGTGACGAAACGTATTCCTCTCTGAATTGGAGGTAACAGGGAACCGTCCGCAAATGACAGTAGGGTCGCCTAATCTCAATTCATTTTTTTTTACTGTACGGTTTTATAAAATCCTTTATTTTTAGATTTCTTTATCATGTGTTTTTTGAAACTGAAAATATCTGTTGGCTAGCCTAACAGTTACGGTACGGATAGTGGCAAATTTCATGATTTATGGACCTATTTTAAATTAATGCGATGTACGTTGACGACACACAAATTCAATGTTTGATTTTAATACATTAACATAACCTAAGAGGAACCATTACTTTGTATATAAAAACCACATTGGCAACGATTTATGGCGTATTTTAACTTCAGAGAGAAAATCAAAAAAGGTCGAGTATCTATCGATTTGTTCGTAAACAACTTTAGGTGGTTTTTTACATTAAACTAGAATATTTATTTCACGTGAAGAACGTTTATAAATAGAAAGCTAAAATTTAGAATTGGAACATATTTGGAAAGGCTTGACCGGAGTAATACTACGGGTCTCACAGAAAACTGATGTTAATCAAACAATTCCTTCAGCTTTTGCCAGATTTTTCTGGCAAATCCTGCTCAAGAAAACTGATTAAATATATTTTTACGATATATATTTGCACGATACCTATGCCTAAAAACCAGTTTAAATATTTTTTGTCTGTCTGTCTGTTTGTTCCGGGTAATCTTCAAAACGGCTAGACCGATTTCGATAATACTTTACTACCAGGTAGCTGTCTATATAAGAAGTAACTTAGGCTATTTTTTCTCTCAGTAAAACCCTATAAAAATTTTACACGGTCCAGGAATCGAACCCACTAAGTCGCGGGCTTTAACTAGTATTTAATAAACTTACCTGTTAATAGTGATAGCAACCATGGACAAAAGACTGACAGCTTCGTTTCCGTAGAAGATGAAAGCGAACATCTGACACAAACTCGGCCCCAGGCCCCAGTGTTGTTGGATGTATCGGTTCGCAGTGAGAGGCAGGTTGATTGAGCAGAACAGCAGATCTGACACGCAGAGGGAGAGGACGAACATTGTAGTGACGTGACCGCGGAGTTTTGGATGCATGAGGAGTGCTACTGTTGTCACTAGATTTCCTGAAAGAAAAATAGTATTATCAGAATTGGTTTAGTCGTTTATAGGTACTGAACATTTATTTTGTAAGTCTTTTTAGTAATCATAATAATTTTGACCGTATAATAGAGATGCAATTTAATAAATATTTTCTTGATTAAAAATAAGGTAGCGTTGGCGTAGCGATAATGCACCAGAGTGCAGGCTCTAACGCCAGTGCATTATATTTATTTTTTACGTGTACCCCTACGGGTGTATCCCCTAAGTGGATTGGCGCCCTTTGAGTCCTCCCCCTAGAAACAGGGGTAGGATTTAAAGATTGCAATCGGTGAAAAGCAACGAAGGAACTTCTTAACACCGGTTTTCTGTGAGACTGTGGTATAACTCCGGTCAAGTTGCCCCTTTGTGTCGAAGCATAACTCTCCCACGCTTTAGGTCGCTTAAGTAAATTGTTCCTTTAGTTACAATAACGTCAATCTTTTTTTCTTTTTTATTAAAGACGGGTCCCTCACGAATAAACCCTGTGTCGTGGGGGACTTTACAAACATACATTAAACGAACACAAAAACACCCAGATTCAGAACAACAATTTGTGGATTAAACAAAGTGATGTCCCATCTGGGGATCGAACCAACAACACTTAGCGCAGTAGGAAGTGAAGTGACCGCTTAAACCACTACACCATCCGTGCAGTCAATCTCTAATATATATGTATAACTAATAACCTTGTTCAAAACGAAGCAGTTTTTGTAGGTGGCTTTTTTTTAAATTTATTAATTAAGTTATGTACAATAATTGGATACAATTACTAGAGTATGTCCTTGATTGAGTGAAAGTTACCGTGAAAGTTAATTTTTAAATTTGGAATTTCCTAGAAAAAATATCGTATTTGGACTGGACGAAAAAAGCTAATTTGAAGAAGGCTGATGAGTTCGTTTGATTGGTTAAACGGTGTTTATATCAGGTGGTGCTGGTTCGAATTGAAAAATTATTTTAGTATTGAATAGTCCATTTATCGAGGAAGGCTACAGAATGATAACATCACGCCTACGGGCATAGGAGCGGACAATCAAGTTATTTGGACGATACTTATGTCTAAAACCCAGTTTAAATTATTTTGTCTGTCTGTCTGTTCCGGGTAATCTTCTAAACGGCTGGACCGATTCTGATAATATTTTACTACCAGGTAGCTGTCTATATAAGGAGTAACTAGGCTATTTTTCCACTCAGAAAAAACCTTTAAAATTTAAAAAAAAAAGCTTGTTCCAGCTAGATTAGAATTTATTATAAGTACATACTTAAACCATAAGTTACCATTTTAATCTAACAAACGATAATCTCAAGAAGAAAAAAACATATTGCTTTCCACTGAGTGAGTATTCCCCTAACTCTGGGGGAGAGCAGCTCGAAGGACGGCAAACCCGTCGGCATTTTAGCCAGTATGCCAAATATATTTATTTAATCGTTCTTTTTTGTAAACGGTTTGCTAGAAGAATCTGGCAATAAAACTGAAGGATTCCTTGTTTAACAGCGGTTTTCTATAAGGCCATAGTATTATTCAGGTCAAGCCTTTCCATATGTGCAGAAGAATGGTTCTCGCGCTGTAAGTTTATGGCAAAATTTAAGGCATCCTGCTGTATAGAATCCCCACCTTGTGTAAACCTTTAAATTATGTGAATAGTTTTTGTCCTTTACACGTTTCACACACGGTAGTCTGATCTCAAACTAGGCAGAGCCTTTTTTTTTTTTTTTTAACGTGTGGAAATCCCCTCGGACCGTCACCCCGCCGGGGCTCTCGTTCGGCGGGCGGTGTGTCGGACTCGAACCGACTAAAACCACACGGTGTGCCCTCTTTGCGCTTCCAGTTTAGGAGGGGTCCAGGTAGTTATCGCCTTCTGGACCCCTCCCAACGCCGGCCCGCTCCTGTTGCGGGCTCCGTCTCAAAAACTAGGCAGAGCCTGTGCTGACCTCTGATAAAATATACTAATATGTATAGATAAATTACACCCAGACACAGAACAAATGATCGTGCTCATCACACAATATTGATTCTGTGTGGGAATCGAACTTGCGCCCCCCGTCTTAGCAGTCAGGGTCACTCCCACAGGTCCGTCAAGTATATACCTACATATTTATATGCTGTGTGAGTGACCCGTGCGATGTCGGAGCATATTGCTGATATCTTATTAAACAAACTTTTGATATTGAATAACACTCTACATTTCCAATACGATCAAGTGTAGCACTTAACTAAATGAAAACGAACGCCAATTTTAGACCAACAACCCAGACGATCAACAGGAGGGGCTTCGGGCTAAGTGGTAATCGAGAAGGTTAACACAATTCAAAGTTAAACAATCATAGCCCGGGCTTTGGATGGGTGATCATTCTTAACCATTGAGACCCCTCTGTGCCTCGGAGAGTATGTTAAGCCTCTGGCAATCGTTACGGGTAGTTGCAGGCCAAAAAAGTACGACAAAAATCTTTCTACAGAACTTGAATATCGCCCATTTGGGTAGTGGAGGTGATGGCAGTCGCTCTGCGTAAAAAATCGAAGATTAGCGGTATTGTACGATCAGCCTGGAAGATCAGCGATCAGCGGTTTGACGACCGAATGACGTAGTAGTTTGTGTAACGGACTGCTATTCCAAAGGTCGCGGGTTCGATTCCCGCTCAAGTCAAACATTTGTGTGCATGAACATTTAATGTTTGATTTGGTCTGGGTGTTTCTATGTATAATAAGTATGTATTTACAAAAAAAAAGTATAAATGCATTTATATCAGTTGTCTAGTACCCATAGTACAAGCTCTGCTTAGTTTAGGACTAGATGGCGTTGTGTGAATGTGGTACAATATTATATTATTTTTATATTATATATTGTAGTCAACTTCAAGCCGCCCCAAACCTAATTTGGGAAAAGGTTAGGAGGAAGAAACGCAGACCATCAATGACAGGTAGGGTTACATATTATTCAGAACTAAAACTTACTGTATATGATAATAGTCGTAGGAAAATTAAAAAACAAAAATAAACAAACATTTTGGTAGAAAACGCGTGGGGTGTTTATTATATTATAAAATATCTTGAAAAGCACCCCACTTATTTTTACTATAAAATAATTTTTCTTTTTGAACTCATAGATAGTTATATTCTGCTTATACGAGTAGTTCGGCTAGTTACAAAAGCGTGCTTTTAGTTTTTTTTTTAGCCATTAATGATGTCATTTTCTCATTAAGAATAAAAAAGTAACAAGCAAGTTACGGCCTAGTGCAAATTTATTTCACATCCCTACTCGATCGTTATTGTGACCGCGTTCGGGTCTGCGATTGGCCTGCACTGAAATCTTCACCAATCGCAACATTGAGTTGTGAAATAAACTGATACTACGCTCTCTGGTAAAAGACTCATACGAATCTCAAACTAGTTGTGAAATAGACTTATACTAGGCTCTCTGGTAAAACACTCATACAAATCTCAAACTCGTCGCGTAAAACTTTAGCATTTCATGGTGAAAGTTTGTTTAAATTTGTGGTGGGTGAGTCGTTTAGTTTAGATTTCTTATTTTTTCAATTTAAAAATCATGTACTTAATGTGAGGGACTAGCTAGTGTAAGTGGCTTTGCTCGCGTGATTATTTTTTAGTTCGTGTTTCTACGTTTGAAATTGACCAACTTCCATACAACTTCATCCCTTATTTTACCTCCTTCATCAACAGCCTTTAATATAGTCTACTGCTGAACATATGACTCTCCTTACAAAGAAGATTTTTGCCTATTACACCACTTTGGCCAGACGAGATGGTATCTACAGTTTGTTACAAGTTTTCCTTCTCTTTGTAGTGCAGTTCTCCTGCAGAGTTTGCTCCCTTAATCGGCTCTAAAGACACCCACGGGATGAATAGGGGTGATAACGCTCCGTATTCTTAATCCGTTACGACACGGACAACCCCATTAGGGGTGAAATATTCGAAAATCCGTTCTTAGTACATGCTTGATGCTTACAACATAAAAAGAACCAGCTACCAGATTTAAAGTTTGTAGCTTTAGTGGTTTAGGCCCTGCGTTGATTTATCAGTCAGTCAGTAGGTATTCAAGTATAAGCAATATTCAAGTCTGTGATGACGATCATTAGTTATACATCAAATTATTTCACATGATGTATTAGATATTCAAAGATTTGTATGCATCCAATGACTCACACGTAAAAATAATGTAAATTTTTCCTGTCACTAATATAAGTATATGTCACTTGACATCAAAATTATGTCTTTAAAGACGAGCATTGACACGGTACGTTATAGGAATGTTAATCTTATGCTCTGACACAATACGTCAATCAAACGTCATTTGTAGGAATGAACTTTGGACAAAGCATACGTCAATTTTGACGTATACTATTCCATATAGAAGTAGAAGTATTGCATGCGAATTCCTTTGAAATGTTATGTTTATCTTTAAATTTACGGATTTTAACTGCCTTCAGCCTGTAACCACGGCCATTAGGCCAATTCTCGTAATAAAAGTTCGGTCACAATTCAGTTCCGATCAACTCTGAATCTCGCAACTGTCATAAAAGGTATTTGTACATGACACAAAAACACCCAGACTCAGAACGACAATTTGTGGATCACACAAAGTGTTGTGCCATGTGGGGACTCCACAACACTCAGCGTAGTAGGAAACGGCGAGGTGACCGCTTAAACCACTACGTCATCCATGCAGTCAAATTGTGACCGAACTTTTATGACGAGAATTGGCCTTCAGTGCAAATTGATCGAAACGGCCGGCAATTCAAAGGTATGTACTTAATACCTGTCGTGTGCTCGTTAATTATCGTAATACATCATTTATATATTATGGATAGTAAGAATAACTACACACATCTTACACACGGCCGTCTGGTCACAAACTAGTCAGTGCCTGTGCTATGGTTACCAGACCGCCTATAAACATACTTATATATTTCTAAATACATACATATCATAGAAAAATTACACCCAGATATAGAACTATCCTACTCATCA